ACCACTAGTCATTCTTATTCACTTGTTGTATTCATCACACCAATACAGTCCCAACTAGTAACCACTAGTCATTCTTATTCACTTGTGGTATTCAACACACCCACACAGTCCCAACTAGTAACCACTAGTAGACATTCTTATTTACTTGTTGTATGCAACACACCAACGCAGTCCCAACTAGTAACCACTAGTCATTCTTATTCACTTGTTGTATTCAACGTGACATCAACACAGTTCCAACTAGTAACCACTATTCATTATCTATTCACTTGTTGTATTCAACACACTAACACAGTCCCAACTAGTAACCACTGGTCATTCTTATTCACTTGTTGTATTCAACACATCAACACAGTCCCGACTAGTAACTTCTATAGTCACTGACCTATTTCAGTTACCCTTGTATCAAATTCTCTAAATAATGAATGCGCTCGAAATGCGCTAAACAACCTAGAGTTTTTCATGCCATTTATCATTCAATTGTGACTGGGATATCGAATGCTGCAGCTGGTATCAATAAATTTATGGTTAATTAAAAGTTAAAAAATATATATACGACAACAAGAGAAAATAAAAGTTCTAGGTTCATTTTCTTTAGGCGACAATCTAAATGCAGACGTGTACGTCCMTGAAATGCCAGGCATCGCTTGTAGTTAATCAGTAATATTTTTATCATGGCGTTGGTAACAACTTTAACTGACGAATTTACTATCAATTTTATTAACAGCATGTATAATTACTAATCTCTAATGATTAATGGATAATGTCTGGAATCGAACATACTAACATGGATGTTAGATGACCAATGAATGATGCAGTGGGTAGAATATTGGCTGAACGTATTAGTTGGTTTATTTAATTTTACTCCATTAGTTACTAAGACAAAAGACGATGATTAGAGGAGCTGGTRGTTCAGTAGCCAGTAAGGTATACAGTTCTTCGAAAAAAAGCTGTCGCTGACCGGCTTCGAAATACTGTACTACGTAGACCAAAAGGTAGCATAGGTAAAAACCACTGTAGCTGCATATATTATTAGCCACCTCTAGAGTTTGCAGTGTTTCCATTTTGATTAAACATGCCTCGAGCATAAAGGGAAGGTCTTCGCCGGCGAGTGGTTTGTGTTTATGCGTGTTATTCAAGGTTAAGACGAGGGAACCCTGTGTTGTTTAGGAGAGGAAGCCTGGAGAGAGAGAGTCGTCGTTTGTTTCGAAAAGAAAGATTGTTGTTATTGTTCAAAATAAAMGCAAAAATCACTCGTATCGTTTTCGTTCCAACAGTTTGGATGACACAAGTCTTCGGCATGAAAACCGAAAGAAGCAGCTTTCTATTTATTTTCCTCTTTGTACATATATTTTGACGCAAAGGCACACGTACATTCATGCGAGCTGTAAACTCTATGGTTGTTTGTGAGAACCCATATTCAGTTGTTTTCAATACACGAATAGCGCAAGCTAAACATTTATTGTTTCAGTGATTTTTACCCACACTCCTATTCGGTCTAGTCGAGTAGTCGCGGAGCCGGTGAGCGAAAAGGTTTTTTCAAGARACTGTATAAGATAGCCCCTTGCATCGACCTTCCCATCCCGTCAAGTCTGTGATTATTATAAGTTTGTGATATCCCATAATATCAAGTAGCATGTACTAACCATGGTCTAATGATGTRTATGGCATGGGCGTTAGGCATGTGCATGACGCATTTGTTTTTTGTTTTTTTTCTCTCTGCTGTTTCCGACAGATGACCTTGCTATTTCAGAGCATATGGATCAACACTATGCTTTTGTATGTTGGTCTTTCTATCGTGTCTATCACCATTAACCTCTGTGCATCGGGCKTAGCAAGGCAGATGAAGAAAACAGGCAAATACATCAAGATTCTGGAGTACTTCCAGGAGAACGAGGAGCATGACCAGGATAAAAATACCACTBATGATAGTACTGCTGGCTCATCTAGGCGTAACAGAGACCCTCAGCACTTTGAGATGGAGAAAATGGACGATGAAAAGAAAACRAGAGAAAATGATCACTTGTTACAAGCACAGAAATAAACCTTTGGTCTGATAGAATGCCTATATAAAGACATTAGATTTCTGGTGGTACTAGAATTTATCGAAACTAGTAAATAGGCCACGTTTGAGATATTACAATAGGACGTTTGCATAATGGCGTCATTTGACTCCCACTACCAAGATGCTTTGCGAATTTTCTTTCTTGTTTAAATTTATATTCCCTCATGAGAATAGTAAGACAATTGGTGGTAATTAACTGAACAAAAGAAAGCGTGCAAGGGAGTCTGGTAGTAGAGGTCAATGACGCCATCGTACAAACGTTCTATTCTAGCACGATTCCAAGGCTCTCCGGAATTGCAAAACCTCAAGAGGAGCAGTAGATCATAGTGCTGTAGATTCGAGCACGGTTGTTGAGCGGTGAACTGACTAGTATATTTCTACCAAAAGGTAAGAACATCGTAGATGGTACTTTATTTCGTTCTACCAATAAATGTATGCGGTGATCACGTGTTTGTACCGTACCAAACGACTAAAGGCTCGCAATCAAGTCAGGAATTTTGGAGATATCGACGTGGCCTATTTGGATTTTCTTTTACGAGTAGAGAATAGAAGTCTGTTTAATGGTTATCTTAGAATGATAAGTTATACACCGTAGTGAAAATAGTAACTGACGTTTCGGACGTTAGTCCTTCGTCGGAGTCAATAGAAAGTAAGAGTAAGAGAGATGTTTATATAGTAGAGGAGAGAGAAAACAAACCAATAAGAAAAAAGCAAGCCATTTAACAAAGGAAAACAAAAGGATCGAAAACAACAATAGGTGGGAAATAACTTAATTATAAGCGAAGCGTTCGTTCATCCCGTGGGGATTAACGGTGCCAAGTGAATGRATTAAGCGCATTTAATGGTTTAATGGTTATTTAATACACTTGACATTTTAATGCATGTTCTATATAATATATTAAACTAATGTAGATTAAAGGCTTTGTCGATACTATTATCAGCATCATTTGTACGAATTACTTTCAGCAGCAAACCTATAACTGTTACAGCAGTTTTCCAGTGGAATTAAAAGCTTATCCCACAAACAACTAYACCACACACAGTATTCGTTTTAAAGAGTACTACAAGGGTTAGAAGGCAATTTTCTATTCTTTTCGCAGGACAGTAAACTATTGAAACAATTCAGTGATCAYTTAATTTCCCCGCGATCAGAGTTTTAAATTCTGAGATATTCTAGATAATTTGTTGAGCTTGTGGGACATAGCAACGGTAACTAAGGGGAGTTGGAAGCAAGACATCCAACGGGAGTTGAAATCAAACCGCCTTTTAGCCCCGATCGGATGCGTTGTGCTTGAACGTGAGTAAAAATGTAGGCAAAATGTTCAATACGTTAAAAGGCTAGTTATATTATGTCATATACGGGTGTGACAGGAATATACCGACCAGGCGGGTCTGTTGGACTCCAATCATGTTTRCTACACGTGATCAAGAGCGCTTTTCGTTCGAGTGGGAAACGACAAATGTATAGCCTAGTTTATTAAATGTATAATCTAGTATAATAGTATACCATACATCCGTGGAAACATATTGGAAATATAAACCTTCGTATCTCAAAGACCCGACATTCAAATGATGAAGTATTTTCATAATCAACTATTCACTATTTAAAGAATCAATTCTGAAAATATCGTGCAAAGGCTTATAAGCACTTTAAGCAATGTTATCCATTTATGGTTCCGACTCATACATTAATAGCGAAGCGATCACCGTTGCAACAGTTTTCCCAATGGAAATTAAGGTTTCTTGTCCCACAAACAACTACACAACATCTTCTTTAAAGACATTAAGGATTACGAAGCAAATTTCTTTTATTTTCACATCAGGTAAACAACTGAGACAATTTATTATCAATTTTCGGCGATCAAAGTTTTAAATTCTGAGATATTCTTGCTAATATGTTAAGCTTGTGGGACATGGCAACGGTAACTAAGGAGAGTCGAAATCRTGGATTGCGACACACTATACTATTTATTNATCAAGAGCGCTTTTCGTTCGAGTGGGAAACGACAAATGTATAGCCTAGTTTATTAAATGTATAATCTAGTATAATAGTATACCATACATCCGTGTAAACGTCACGTTTCCCACTCATACGATAACCATTCTTTTATATGGAAAGCCATTTCAATGTTACGGCATAAAAAAACATTTTTATTGTTACTGCACGAGAAAGCCATTTTCATGTTATGGAATGATAAAGCCATTTCAATGTTACGGCATTAAAAAAAAAAACATTTTTATTGTTACTGCACGAGAAAGCCATTTTAATGTTACGGAATGATAAAGCCATTTCAATGCTACGGCATAAAAAAACATTATTGTTACTGCACGAGGAAGCCATTTTAATGTTACGGGATGATAAAGCCATTTCAATGTTACGGCATGTTTTTAACTTGTACGTACTTCTAAGTGAAATACCGTAAGTTTCCCACTCTTCATTATTTCTTTATTGCTTATTACTCCATCTACAAAGCTCTACATAGTCTTCATTAAATTATTATCAAAATAAATTAATCTGGCTTTTGCGATATTATTAGTGTCTCATTATCAATATTTATTGGTTATTATATAGTTGTCCCAAAAGACCTACAATTGAACTAATTCGTATTGACATTAAACAAAGAGCAGTTTACATTCAAAATAGCTATGTTGCTGGGTATCTCCTCCGCATGCATCTCCTCCTCCATGCATCTTGTCTCTTTGCTCCTTGGGCTTCTTGTGGTGAGGACAAAATGTCGAGGGGGGAAGGGAGAATGAAGAGATTACTCCTCCTCGCTTTTCCCTCCCTCCGTCGCCCCCACTCCTCCTCCTCTCTCGTTTCTCTGCAATAAGATTTAACACAGGGGTCCCAACGCAGAAAATATATTGTATACATGGAGTAGCCTGCGTAGGAGGCTAGGTATCTTTATAGTTGAGAAAATTATGAACCACAAGCAAAAATGTGTATTAGAAAACTAAGAATAAATCATTTACTAAATAACGTTTCAAGCTTTCGGACGATCGTCCATCATCTGGGATTAATGAAAAAAACGTTAAACAGTGTAATTATAGCTAAATTGACAATTATATAAGTTATGTCTTATGTAGTTGTCCCCCAAAAAAACTACCATTAACTATTTCGTAATGACATTAAACAAATAACATTTTGTC